AAGGGAGAACAACGGAAGTTACAATTGAATGAGCTAGAGGAGATAAGGAATGAGGTTTATGAAAGTTCACATATCTATAAGGATAAAACCAAGGCTTTCCACGATAAGATGATCCAACAGAAGCATTTTGTAGTTAGACAAAAAGTCCTTCTACTCCATTCATGCCTAAAACTATTTTCAGGTAAATTGTGTTCCTGTTAGGTTGATCCTTTTGTGGTTACTAATTTTTTTCCTAATGGTGCAATGAAGACTGGGAAAGAATTGAAGATGTATGGTCATCGCTTAAAACCATACTATGAGCCATTCGTGGACAAAATGGATGAAATCCCTCTTTATGAGCCGACGGACATGGACAATTAAGAAAAGGACGACTTCGGGCTGAGGAAGTTAAACCAAGCGCTACATGGGAGGCAACCTATTGATGTCGAGTTTGCTTTCGTTTTTCTTTTTAGTTTTGTTTGGATTAATAAAGAAATTAGGACATTGCCCAATTTAGGTTAAGGGTGGATGATGCATTGTAATATTAATTTTTGTTCAATTCTTGTTTATATTGAGTCTTGTTCACATAGTTTTTAGGTATGCTTTATTTTTTCTAGAGCATGTTGCGGCATAAAAAAACTGGCGTCGCGGCGAGCTGCTTCTGGGTTTACTTGAATTTTCCAAGTTTTGTGTATGCCGCGGCATGAAAAAGCTGGCGTTGGCGCCGCGACATACTGCTCTTGGGTTGTAAAGTGCTAAACACATGTCGCAGCATGAAATAACTAGCGTCGCGGCATGGCGTTCTTGGTTTGGAAGGGCAAACCTGGGCAAAAAAAATTAAATTGGTGCTGCAGCATGAAAAGTTTCTTACCGCGGCCCACCTACGATTTTGAAATTTTTTTCACTTAAAATCAAATATCATTCAATTTTTCATCAAACCCCTAACTTCTCTTTCTCTCAAACTCTCTCAAATCTCTCATCCATTCTCCATTTTTATTCAAATTTCTTTCACATTTTCAACAATCTATACCTAATATCTTTTCCAAGTCACAATTTGCAGGAATTACTAAGGACTTCGGATTTCATCATTAATTGCAATGTTAGGGCTCTTAAAAATTGGGGCCTTTCAAATTGGAGTTCATTTTCTTCATCAAAGGGACAATTGGCTTCGTACTCAACAAGTAAGTGCTCTATTGCGTAAAAGAAACTAATTTTTGTGATTGCTTGTGAAGTTTGGTTGAATAGGCTGATTGTGGGAATTTTATCTTAGTGTTTGAAGTTAAATTTGGGTGAACTTAGGTTGAATATTGTTGTGGGATTATATTTCTTGGGTTTGCTTGAAGTTTGATTGAAAATATTAAGTTTGCATTTTGTATTTGGTGGTATTATATTGTTGAGAATGACTCCAAAGAGAAAGGAAACAAAAGGGGGAGAAAGAAGTAGGAATAAGGGCAAAAGTGTACAGGTTGAAGATGTGAGGTTTGTGCTGCCAAGGAAAGATTTGAGGAGGCAGCTAAGAGAAAGAGCGGGTTTATTGAGGAACTAGGGATGGATTTTGGCACGGTTAATTTCCATGGGATAAGGGACAGAATAGGAGCTTTGGGTCGGGAAAAGTTCTGCAGAAAGCTTGAGGCTGCTGAGGAGTCCATGGTTATGGAATTTTATGCCAATGCTCTGGACAACACAAATGGGAGGACACAAGTTAAGAGGGTAGATGTAGCATTCGACCCAACCGCCATAAATGCTTACTATGGGTTGGAGGATATACAAAATGGTGAGTTTGAGGAGTATTTACAAAATGTTAATTACAATGCAACGATTAGAATGTTGGCCACAAGCGAAGCAGAATAGGAAATAGTCAACAGTCAACATAAGACCTTCGATGGCTAGCACTTGTCCACTGTCGCCTGAATTTGGCAATATTTTGTATGCTCTAGATTAATGCCGATGACACATTATAGTACGGTGGATATAAACAGGGCTATTTTGCAATATGCCATTGCAACACAGAAGACAATGAATCCACGGATAAGCTACCCCAACTCATCACCACATTATGTAAATTTTGCTTCAGATGAGGTGTTGCTACAACTGGGGCCACGTTTGACTTTATCATACATGAAGAACCTCACAAGTGGGACAAAAGCCACAAGGGCTAGTAAGCAAGCTTTTTCCTCCTCTAACATGTCCACAAAAGCCAATTGAGCGAATTGAATAGAGAGGTACGAAATCGAGAGAGTATCAACATTAGCAGCAAGAATGGTTGAGTGGACAAATGAGGTACAACTTGTCCAATCCGAAATCGACTGCAGTCACCTGAGGCAAGTCTCGGAGAATCCAAGACACAAGTTTATTTTTAGGCTATGTTAAGGAAGAAGATGCTCAGGAAGAGGACGAAACCAATGACCAAATGGAGGATTAAAAACTTGGATTATTTCAATATATATATATATACATTGTTTTATGTTTATTTTCTTTGTTTTGTTCTTGGATGTAATTTTGATTTTCTGCATTTCTTTTTAGTTGAATATTTATGATGTTATGTTTCATAAATTTAACTAGTGATGTGTCTCTTTGTTTTGATAGTATTTAATATAGATGATGGAATGAAACGAGAGTGGGGCTCGAATTGTCAAGCTAAATTGTACTTCACTAATGAAAAGAGGGGTAACTTTTTTTTCTTTTTCTCCTTTTGCTCTTATTTACATTTATAAATTGGGGACAATGTAGATATTAGGTTGGGGGTGAGGGAAGTTCTCTTAAATTTTTGAATTTATGTATTTAGGAGAATTGTTTTTTTTTTTTTTTTGGTGTGTTTATGAAAATTTTTAGGTTTGGATATTGAGTCTTTAGGATTTTTTTTTTTTTTTTTTTAGTTTTTCGGATTAATTTCTATGTTAATGATAAGATTATGATTGTGATGACATGTAACGTTTAGAAGACGTTAAATGTTGTGTCAATTTAAGGATGATTTTGAATGTTAGTTTCATCCGGTTTGAGACTTTCATGGTATGTGTTATGATTTGGTTGGTTAGTCTTAAGGCTTAGTGATGTTTTATGCACGAATTCTTCATGGACATTTTTGCGATCTCAACAAATAACTACTCGAGGCAAAATCCCATAATTCACATTACTTACAAAATGATTTAGGCTATTTTTGGATCGATTGAGCCTTTCAAGCCAAACCTTTATCTTATTATCACTAATTACCCTTTTGAGCCATTATTAAACACATTTTTAGCCTTAATTTTCTTTCATTTAGCCCATATTAACCTACCGTTATTATGAGCTGAAAACACATTCCTACCTTTTAATTTTTAAGAGACTTAATCTAACCACAAATTGGTGAGAGCACTTCGAAAAGTAAGGGTGGAGAGTTGTGAAAATAATTACCACAACTGAAAGAAAAAACATTGAGGGAGCATGAAGTTGTGCAATGAAGTCCTTATTACTTTACGAAGAAAAGTTTGATGAAGGGTGGAGAAAGTTGGGTGCAAAGGAGAATGGTTTTAGTGCTTGAATGGTTGTGTTTAAAGAGAATAAGATTGAGTCTCTTATTTTTGTCTAAATCCTTTCCGTTCTTTTATAACCCCATACCCTAGCCTAACATTACAAGCTTTATAAAGAGGTAGTGTGGTAATTCTACATTAGTGGAGAGCGGTTTAAAAATTGAGCATGTGGACTTTGATTTTACAATTCACAGTATATTTATTTTTCAAGTTTTTGAGATTAATTTTTTGTTTGTGAAGTTTGTACCTATGATTATTCGAGTTTTGAGATTAACGGGTTTGTTGTTTGTTGAATGTTTGAGAGTCGATAAAGAAAATGGAATTGATGCTTGAGTTATCTTTAGACTGAGATGATATTTAATTATTCTCTATGTTATGTATTGTGTGCAATTTTTGAGATGAACATATATTTTGATCCGAAAACTAATGTTTTTGTTTTTATTTTGAGCCTAGGTTAGGTTTAGTGAGGCTGTTTGTGGGTATTTTCTTTGGAAACTCTCACAAGGCTATAACTCGTCCAACTAGGGCCGTTTAAAGACCTGTTGTATACACTAAATGCAACGGTGACAATCTGCGAAAGTGATTTAGGTTAGCTTAGGATTAGATTTTATTTTCACTACTAGAAAAACCACCTTTCTTGACAGAATAAGTTGATAGATTTTCTTGACCGTTTTCGAAAACTGTCAAGAATTGTAATTCTTGACAGTTTATGAACTGTCAAAATTTAAAATAATCCTTGATTGTTTTGGATAATTCTTGACAGTTATTAATTGTAAAAAAAATTGGTTAAAAATTAATTTTGCGAATCTTGTTCTTAACTGTTGTATTCTCAATCATTGACAGTTTTTAACTGTCAAAGATTAAGTATATAAAAAACAAAAAAAAAACTTGCCTTAAACTTTTCTCACCCTTTTTTTTTTGCCATTTGTCATTAACTATTCTCACAATTTTTTCCTAATGCTTACCTGCTATTTCAATCATTTGTGCAAACCCTCATAATCGGCCTATTTTATGGCACTGGAAAAAAGTTCTCTTTTCTACCACTCCCATTCAGTAGACGACGACTCGCTCACTAACTTTGACGCTTATTCCATGCCTATTCCAACAGAGATTGTTAACTTCGGTGAGTTCTTGGCGCGACATATACCCAACACCCAAATGTAGGGGTGTTAAGAAAAATGTAGAAATTGAACCGAACCGAGAATCGAACTGGTTTTCCGATTATCCGATAAACTAGTTCGGTTTTGGTCCATAGAAATATAGAACATAATTTCTGATTTTATTGAAAAACAGATTAAAAACTAAGCAATTTTTCCTTAAAATTTCAAAAATAAACAATTTAAATTAAAAAGTCCCCAAATCTAAAATTAAAGAAACACAAACCCCCAAACCCGGTTTTATTAAAAAAAAAAAAAAAAAGTAAACAATTTTGCCCAAAATTCAAATTGTTTGAACCCTTAAAATTAAAAAAAGTTAAAAAAATAAACAATCTAATTAGCTTCTCCACTTCGTCGTCACTATCTATACAAAATCCCCAAACCACTAAAACCCCACCGCCGACGACGCAATTGCTGTCCACTTCTCCACTCCGTTCGCTTGTCTTCTCCATTTGACGGCTAAATCTCCAGTTGTTGAACTCCCTTTTTTTTTTTTTACTTACTTTGTGGAAGTGCTTTCATTTCTCTAGTACTACTTTGTGTTTTTCTTACCTACTTCTGATAACTTTTTGTGAATCTTCTTTGGCTATTTTGTACCATATGGTAAAAGTGCCCCTTTTCCGAAGTAAAAGTCCTGTTAGAATGCTGAATCTTCTTCGCCTACTTTGTGTTCCTACTTCTGCTGACTTTTAGTGAATCTTCTTTGTTATATCATGTAAGTACTCAAGACTACTTTAACGAGACAGTGCCTCTTACACTTGGGCTTCGTCTTTTTTTTTTTTTTTTTTTTCTTTCTGTCTCTTACGTATCTGGGATTTTTTTTTAAGTCTTATTGTCTCATTTGGGTTTCGTCTTTTTTTGGATCAAAATTTAGTTTATTGATTCTTTCTTCTGGGGTTGTGTGCTCGCAAGAAGGAGCTGAAGAATAAGCAGAGAGAAGAGGAGAGGAAGCGCAAAGAAGAGGAAAAGGCAAAACAGGTACTTAGCTTTCGTTTTAAGCTGATGATTCGTTGAGTTTTTGATATGGCTTTTGGGTATTTTTGTATTTATTTTTGTTTGCTAATTGGCCTTTTCTTTTCTTATTTGAGTTTTTGATATGGCCATGGGGTATTTGGCATTCGTTTTTGTTTGTTAATTGGTGTCATTTTGTAATTGTTTAAGGATTAAGAGACAAGAAATAGGTGTCATGTAGTTATTAAATTGAAGTTAGTAACATATGTGTTTATGAATATTGGTGTTATTTTGTTCTTCTTTAAGGATTAAGAGACTAGAATATGTGTAATGTAGTTATTGATTTGAATTATTATGGATTTTGAATGCAGGGGTGGGGCCATAAAGTTTTTGGGGACGAAGCGACACCACGACAAGTGGCTGAAAGACACTGAGAATTATGTGGTAAAAGGTGGCTTTGCATTATGTGGTAAGACTTTCTAAACTCTTATATATTTGTGTTATATTTAGAGATTTGCAGCTTTCATGCCCCCTTTAACATCTGGTCGTGTAAATATAGCATCAACAGCAGTGTACATATCAAAGGTAATAATGGATTTTAAATCTGGTCTCCCTTCAGTTGTAAAACTTTTGCAGTTGTATATAATTCTTGGGCCAGGGATGCAGGTAATCCTGAGAAACTTAATGAACTATCGGAAATTAACATTCTTCTCCTTTTAGATTGGCTTATCAATAGCTATAAGGTATGCATTATCAAGGCGGACATTCTCTATTACACCAAATGGACCTGAAATCCTGTTGCTCGATTATCCAAGTCATCAACGACGACTATTGCCTCTCCTTGCAAAGACGTAAGCATCTCAATAACTTGTATTGTGAAAATTAAATTTTATTGTAACTTTGGGAATAAACTTTTCTCCCTTCTCTTCCCTTACATTTATAGTATCTGGTATGAACTGAGTATATATGTTACTGGATTTGCTAGTTTTGACACATCTACAAAATTTTCCCTATTGACTCTTATCTGTTTGCTAAGTAAGTAGGGAGTTTGATTCTATTAAAAGTGTCTATATTTTTCACTTAGTAATGCTAATAAATTTATCCTGATTGCTTCGGTAATATGTGGTATTTGAATAGAAGTAATTATACTGGCCCTATCTATTAATGATCTTAACTAATAAACTGGTGTTGTTATTTTTGCTGCTATCCTCCCCCTTTCCTCCCCATTATTGATTCTGCAACAGATATGCTATGAGTTCTGCTGCAAACTACACGAAGATGTTATATGTGAATAGGACACCTCAGTCAAACAAAACCACTCATGTTATTTCAAGTGCATTCAAGGCTACTTTTACCTGGCACAATCAGCAAACACTACAGGCCAGGAACTTCAAGTACACATCGATTATTTACATTCATGTTAAGTGGTCTGATTCAGACTACTGTTCTTTTAGGAATGCGGTGAAGCATGTGGAGGACAAGGCCTGAAGACTGAAAATCATGTTGGTCATTTGAAAAGTGAATTTGATGTGCAATCTACTTTTGAAGGGGACAACAATGTCCTGATGTAGCAGGTTAATGTCTATGGTCTTCTCTCTTATAAATTATGACAAAGAATTGCACATATCCCTATTAATTGTTTACAAGTGACCTGCATATCTATATACTACATTTTTGTTGGAGACAGGAATAGGTATCAGAGAAAATGTTAGATTCTAACTTACCTTCTTCCGAAATGACGTGAATTGTTTAATAGCCTTCCCAAAAGCGTTGGGGCATAAGAAGACTTTTGAACTTGATCTTTTATTGAATTAGTTTATATTTCCTCCATGTTTGACCTTTAGTAGATTATAGATTTTAGACTTTTAGTGCTGATAATAGCCTGCTATTTATGTAGATTGCATGTTAATAATCCTCTTTCTTTTAATTGAAATTATGCATATTGCAATAATCAGTTTTGGTTTCCATATTAATTCCGTAAGCTTTGCGTACCAATTTTTAATTTGTTTTGATCAATGGCTAAATATTAATATGGAACTATATTTATACTCAATTTTACGTTCTCCATAAATCTCACTTCAAAATGGCTGTGCATGTTTTTCCATTCCTCTAGGAAATGAAATTTTGCTACTTACTAACATAGAGAGCTTTAAGGTAATTGTTTCTTGGCCATTTTTCTTTCCTCTGAGATATATGGTTGGTCAATGTAAGGGGTTTTTTCTAGTAGCTAGTGATTTATTTGGATACACTGATTGATGATTATGCAATTGTCCTCTCGTGTTCACTTATTGGTGTGGTTGCTGCTCTGTATGTTGAAGCAGATCATATACCGTAGTTTTGCAATCTAAATATTGTCATTATTTTGGTGGTTTTTGTAGATCATGTTATTATGTGATCAATGGTATGTATTTCTAAAAATAAGGCCATATCACTTGGAATACAAACTTGGGATGTATAGTACTACTAGTTGTATATTAAACATAGTAGTGGCAGATGCATTAAACTACATACATGTATACAAAAGTATAATTTGAAAATAACTCCTAGATCTTGTGCATTATTTTGTGTAACCAGTAGTATGATTACGAAAGCCTCACTGGTGATTAGCTGATTATTAAACTGAATAGTTGCTAATTTATGAAAAATTATGGATCTGCTTGTTCAGTAAATCCACGCCCTTGCAGACAAGACCGTGGAGTTGCTTGGAGTGACAATTTTTAGGTAGGAGCTGTATGGCTTGCATGTTTGCCATACAGCTTGTTCACTTATGCATTTTCATTTCAAGAATTGCTCTACTAGGCATAATTCTTTTGTGTTTGGGTTAATTTTTTACTATTTAACCATCGACAGGTTGTTAAGCAAAGGATGCAGACTGGGCAGTTTGTTTCAGCTCCGGATGTTGTAAGGATTTAAGGGTTTATACGCAGTATGACATTGAAATAGTTATGTTTACCTGGGGTTCATTCTTCTTTTATTTTGATCTCTGTACTTTGGTTTTTATTTTGTTCTTTGTACGGTAACATGTAAAAAGTGTACCATTCAATAAATTAATTGAGAGATTGTTGAATGTTTAAATTTGTTATTGAATTGTGATAATTGTTGTTGGTTGAGGAATATTACGAAGAATTTCATTACATTATTCTATTATTTAATTTGTAATAATCAGGAAAATAAACTAATTACAAAATAAAAATATTTAAACAAAAAATTTTTTTGACCGTTTTAAGACTATTAACGATGAAAAATTATTACTAATAAAATTTGATTATTATTAATATTCAATTTAATTTATTTTTTTTGTTAAAATCTCTTGACAATTCGAAGAATGTTAAAGATTGGTTAAAATTTGGTTAAATCTTTAATGAGTTATAACTATCAAGAGATATGTTAAAAATTTTTTGACAGTTTAAAAACGGTTATTACCCTTATTTGATAGTGGTTTTAATGACGGGTGAAGAATTGTCAAGAAACTCTCTTCTTGACAGTTATTACCCATCAAGAAAAGGGTTTTTTTTAGTAGTGTTTGTTTTCATTTTTAACTTGGAAGACATCTTTAGCTTGCTTAGCTTGCTAGGGACTAGAAATAATCTTGTTGGGAGTTGTGATAAGTGTTTGAAAATACACTTATAATTAATGGTTTACTGGTATCATTTGTGGGAAATTAAGTTTAATTTGTGTGGTTTGACTTGTTTCATAAATGTGTTTTTCAGGGTTCCAGGTATGTTTGGTGTGTTTTCAGGTCATAAATGCAAATAATATTCGGATGAAGAATGATGTTGGTGGCGAAATTTGTGATGATTGAAAATGAACGGTATGAGAATCAGAGTTGAAACGATGAAGTTATGACATTCTGAGTACGAATTGGGAATCTTGGAACATGCTTTGGTATTTTGACGATAACTTGAGTTGTAGACCTCTTATTTGGATCATTCTTGAACCATTAGGAAGCTGACTCAAGGGGGTACAATTCATACGTTTACAACTTCATCAACTTCAAAATTTATCATGCTCAAACTTAGAAGTATTTACGCATTGCGCCAGGGGATATTTCCGTCGTAGCATATCACTCTTGGGTCATTATGATTTGAAGGCACGCTGCGGCATGGAAAAAGTGGCACCATGACCTGAGTCTTGGAATTCTAATTCTATGCAAAATTTGCTAAATTTTATCCGAATTTTCTTAGCCTAATCCAAATAGGATTGTTCCAATTACACTCCTAAAACCCCAGCACTATAAATTGATGTCTTTAGCTATTTTTAGGGTTACAGAGAATAGAGAGAAAAAAAGACATGATAATTAAAAGAGAATGAGAGATTGAAAGAGGTTTGAAGAAGAGAGTTGGAGGAAATGTGCAGCAACTCCATTGATCAACCAAGTTTTCCTAAGCTTTTCTTATCCTTTCTATTATTTGTTATTATGAATATTATTGTGGTTTTCTTATTTTCCATGGATAACTAATTCTCTTGTGATTGTGGATGATTTCTAAGCCCTAGATATGTCTTGTGATAGTTAATAAAACTTGCAATTTTCTTTCTTCCGATTCCTCTTGATTATGTGTTTTATTCTTTGTGATGAATGCTTTAATAGATTTTCTTTAGTTGTTTAAGTGGCTAATTGAATGATTGGGTTAATTTATTATTACCAATTTGGGTTGTCTAGTACATTATTGCTTTATTAATCCGAATAATTAGTGATGAGTTGCTTACTTGCATGCAATAGGAATGAACACTCAAGATAAATAAACCGAGCTTATGAGTTTAGCCTTGATTCAATATGTTTTTCATTGCTTTTATTAAATTAAGTCTAGAGAGCTTATTCTAGGTTGTTTAATAGATAGAGAGGTGGGTTAAGAGCTTGTTTAATCCAATGGCATAGTAAGAAGAAATCAAATTTGTTGAGCTTGTAATATCTTCTGAGTCGATATAATCAAAAGGATAAGAAGTAGGAAGTTCTTTTATTAATGTGCGATTCATGTCTAGTGGTGATGAATGATCATTCGATCCAATTTATCTCATATTCTTTAACTTTAAATTGTTAATTGCTTGTTTTTAATTAGATGTACTAATTTTCTGCATTAATCATCAAAACCCCATGTTTAGTAAGTAATTAGTTAATTGGAAAAATCTTCTGCCGGAAAGACCCTTACTTTCTCTATGTTGCTACACGCTATTGTTATAGATTTTAAGAAGGGTTAAGTTAGTTGTTTTTTTCTGTGCTGCTACAGGCTATTGTTATAGATTTTAAGTAGAGTTAAGTTAATCGTTGCATTTGCATGCAATATGTTCGCAATAATATTATACTTACAAATATTTTCATACAAAATAAGATGACAAAAAATGAATGGAAGAGTGAAACAAAAAGTCAAACTCATTATATCAACTCTTTCATTTATATTTTACTATATTACTTTGTATGAATTTCTTTGTAAGTGTAGTATTACTCATCTCTCCGTTCTCATAAAACCCTTGAAATTGCTACTTTATGGATTGGCATCTGACTCTTGTAATTTATCCTGGTGTGTCCAACTGTTCCACAACGACTACAAAACCGCTCTTGAATCTCTTTATCCCTTGAAGGAACCTTGTCATTTGCTTGGGGTCATCTTGCCCGTTGCTTTGTGATCAATGTTGGTAAAACTATTCTAGGATCTTCAGGATGAATCTAATCAGGCTGATTGCTAAGTGGATAAATGGATTCATTATATACCAAATAAAGTGTCTCAGGTATGTAATACCGATAAACCTATTGGTATCAACCCAAAAGGCAAACGAACTTTGCGATTACAGTAACATTTGCACAAGTTAACTATAACAACTAGAGTTTCTTGCTTGTACATGTCCTCTCTTAGAGATCAATGCGCCCGTCGTTCTTTCCACCCTGAACCTGATTCGCATAATTGTTAACCAAATGGACGATCATGTTTATAGATTTTGTTACATTGCTCGCAATCATCTATAGCCTGGTAGGTTAGATGTTTATTCCATTCAACTGAAATAAGTGAAAGCCAAATAAAAATTAGGTTAGTATGTAGAAATAATGGATAAAAGTTTAGTAAAACTTTAGATCCTACATGCTTTCGTTTGTCTCTCATAAAACCATTTCTGTAGAGTACTCTAGATGAATTCAACAAGCATAGTGATCGATAAACCACGAGCTTATCAAACCAACACATTGAAAGACTCAGCTATATTTGTCGTCATTATGTAATAGCGAAGTACATTAAAATGAGACCATGCCCATCTCTGATATATCCAATATCTTGTAGGTAGGTATTGTGTAAACTACAACAAGCTTCAGCTCAAGCAACTGAAGTTTTTCAATTTCTGAATATCGGCACGTTCTGCATGTCGCTCAACAAACTGCAAGTGGATCAAGTTTTCAGTTGAAAGAATCAATAAGTTGCAGCTGATATTGTGCAAGTTGGCGAGGCTGTTACTCGGTTGTTATGCAAGTTGCATGAGTTGTTATTCTTCAGTTATGCAAGTTGACAAGTGGCCATGCAACTTGCATCAAAGTCAAAAAATCAATGGTTAGAGTTAACCTGTGTAATATAGAATGTAAGGCTGGGATTTCACAAAAATGAGGCAGCACGTGATCTGCTTTTGTTATAAATTGTGAGTGTAAAGGACAGTTTGATATTAAGAAAAACAAATAGAAAATAAATGCTTCTGTACTGATTCTTTTTCTCTGCCTCAGAGTCTTTATACTCTGTTTTCTTTCTTCTTTTTCGTTAGTGCGTTTTTCATATTGGCACCAGCGTTCATTGCTTAAATATGTTGGGATTTATGCCCTACAAGCAGATTGGTTTTCCATAAATATGATGAATAAGACATTATTCATCTATGCATTGATAAAGTCATATCTTAAGGTTCCAGGACTTATACTAATGATAGAACTACTTATATGAGGGATTCATATAAGGGAGATATAGTTCTTAATTAAAGTCTGAAAAGGATCACAAATTATGAACAAAGTTGGACAATTTATAAGAAAGGTTGTTGTGTCATTTACTTCGATTAAGGGAGCGACTAATATTCTCAAGTCATCAAAGGGCTGACTATAGGTAAACGCACTTGTGCATTTAGAATGTATTGGACAAGAACGCGTGAAATTTAAAGCTTATTTGTAAATACCGAAACCGAAGTTTAAAATTTCACACTTTGGAAATTAAGTGTATGAACCTTACCTAAGTGAATAAAAAACTCTTGATTATGTCATGTTCTCTTTGATTAGAATAAAAGGTGAGATCATGATTTACTTCGATTGACATACTCGGTTAATTGGGAGAATATGTTTATCAATTAAGATTTAAATATTAAATTATCTACTAGACTGGTAATCGTAACTCATGGGATCAAGATTTAATTTTAGGGGTATTTTCGACAAGTTTTCCTAACCTAAATTATTGATATTCTATGAAGGGTTTACGTAATATTGTCATACTGACAAAGTTTAATTAATTGATTAATTAATGTTCTTTTGTAAAAGATTATTTAACTAAGAGTGAAACTTTAATTCTATAGTGGTGTGAATTAAAGTTAATGAAATTGGATCATAAGTATTATCATGATCGTAATTCATTGGAGCTTAATTAAATATGTTCATTAGGTCCCCAAGCTCGTTCACATAATATCATAAATTGGAATTAATTAATTTCATTTATAGACCGATTAGTAACATACTGGTTTTGATGTAATTAATTAAAGGTATTTCTTAATTTCTTCTCAAGATGACACATGGAACATAAACCCTACGGTTTGCCTATAAAAATAAAGTTTTCATATCCTTTTTGTTTTTTTTCCTGAAAAGTGTTATCAAACTAGGAATCCCTAGGCAAAAACAATAGATCAAGAAAACCATCTTTTCTTGATCTTGATTGTTAGTGAGGGTTTTTTGTGTGTGAAAAATGTGAAAGAAAAACAGAGGAAAATATTGAAGACTTAGAGAGGTCAAAGGAACCACTTTTATTCATTAGCTGAATATAGTCTTAAATAGGAATTGTAAATAATGTGCATATCAGAAAAATAGGACAACTAAGTCCATGAATAACAAACTCTTATACTGCTGAAATTCT